CGGTTTTGTCTGTTTTTGTGACTAACGTTTCTTTAGTATAACCATGGAGTATAAAATTAAATATAAATTCTCGATATTGCATTGGACTCTACGATGGGCGTAAGTTATTGAGCATCCCTTCACCGGAAATACCGCCGTAGAGCCCATAGCTCGTTTAGAGAACCTTTTCATGATATGGTAATTTTTTGAGATGGGCTGTATGCCAAAATCATCAGTATTAAAACAATAAAAGACCTGAAATATTTCAGTTGGTGTGCAATGAATCTAAAATATATGAAAGTTTGATTTTTATCATTACATTATCCTTTGATGGGCAACATGGGTCTAAATAGACCCGACTGAGTTTTCATTTTCTATATCTTTGCAAGAAATTAATTTCATCATTCAGTATTCCAGGTATTCCTCAATTAACTTGTTTTTGATCATCACAAATCCTTATTTTTATTTTTCCTTTCTCACTTTTTGAATACAAATGGTTTTTGTATAGCAACCCTTCTAATGCGCAACATGGGTCCAAAAAGACCCGTATTCATTTCCTATGTTATTTCAGTGATGGCTGAGTGTTTCTTTGCTGAATCCTTAAAATATATGTTTTTTTATCATTTCTTATTTCAGATATTCATTAAATATCTTGTTTTTGATTTCAACAAATCATTATGTTTCCTTTCTTACTTTATAAACAAACACAAATTTTGTATTTCTACATCAATTTTACATACATGGGTCTAAAATGACCCATATTCATTTGCTATTTTATTTCAATGATGGCTGAGTGTTTCTTTGCTGAATCTTTAATTTGGTTACACTTTATTTCGATAGTCACTTTAGACATTCTACTAACTATAAGTAACTTTTCAACTACATGTCAACTAAGTGTCATTAGAGTATTAGTAGGCTGTTGTAGACGGTCAGTAGACTGTTAGGTTAGGGTTAGGTGTTAGGGGTGTTATTTTACTTTAACCACAAACATTTTTTTTATATATATATTGTAAAAGATAACATAATATTTGAATATAGGCTATGGTTACCTTGACCTTGTAATCCTAGTGAGAAATTACTGAGAAGGAGAAACATGTCCAATACTATTAGCTAGCTATAGCTGTTGACATATTCTAGCTAGCTAATGTTAACTACAGTAAAAAGAGATTGTTTTTTAAAGCTTATTTACATTTAGTAGGCCTAACAGTTCATAATCATTCATAATCTGAAATGATTCTTTGTTTAAAGAGTTTAGAGTGAGCTGCCAAAGACAGAAAAGTCAGCAGCTGCATGGTGTTCCCAGTGTACCAGGCCTGTGCAAGGAGCACAAACATGTAGTTGTCATTTGTGAGGCATGTAAGCACTAAGATGGCAATTTGAGATGTCGCTGTACCAGTGTGAATTTTGTTTCTATTTTCTTTTATTTGATCACATTCACCACAGTTACACTACACCACAGTTCAATTTCAGTGATATGTGAATGCTATGCGAGACAAAGTGGCAAATAAACATTTCAAGTGTTAAATGTGTTGTCTAAATTAAATATGTTGTCTAAATTAAGATGATTAATTTAACAAAATGTTGTCTTTATTCTTTTGTTTTATCATGCTTGATAAGTACATTTGATAAAGTAACACAAAACCTAGAAAATAAAATAAAAGTTATTTTTTGGTAATTGAAAAAAATATTTTTTAATATTTATAAATCATGAAATCGTCACGGTTCGTGTAATCAAAAAGGTGTGAGGACTCAAGGGCTGGAGAAAATATTAATTTATTGCCAAAACAAAACAAACACAAAGCAAAAACCCACGAAGGGCAAAAACACAATGAATAAAAATAAAACAATAACGGAACCTGAACAGAGGGTCACGGGGAATGGGAGACATTAGACAACGTACCGACACAGACTGCAAACAAGAGGAGACTTAAGAAGGGAACTAATCAGGAGGGAACAGGTGAATGAACTCAAACAATAATCAGGTAACGAGGGGGAGGGATCAGACAGTGACACAAGCACATGGCCCAAAATAACAAAACACCCATGTGCAACACAAGACAGGACAGGCATGTGACATTACCCCCTCCCTACGGAGCGGCTACCAGACGCTCCATCAGGCGGGACGGGAGGGACGGGCGGCCAGGACGAAAAACAAAGTTCATCAAGCGGCCAGGGCGGAGCAGACCCCTCGGTCGGCCAGGGCGCAGCAGACCTTTCGGGGGGCCAGGGTGGTGAAGACCCCTCGGGTGGCCAGGGCGGTGAAGACCTCTCGGGTGGCCAGGGCGGTGAAGACCTCTCGGGTGGCCAGGGCGGTGAAGACCCCTTGGGCGGCCAGGGCGTTGAGGACCCCTCGGGTGGCCAGGGCGGTGAAGACCCCTCGGGTGGCCAGGGCGGTAAAAGCATCATGGGGACCAGACACCGGCTCGGGAACAGACACCGGCTCGGGAACAGGCATTGGCTCTGCCTCCGGCTCTGGAACAGGCATTGGCTCTGGAACAGGCACTGGCTCTGCCTCCGGCTCTGGAACAGGCACTGGCTCTGCCTCCGGCTCTGGAATAGCAGCCACCGGCTCAGGAACTGCCGACACCGGCTCAGGAACTGCCGACACCGGCTCAGGAACAGCCACTAAAACAGAAATGGTCACAAGGACAGACACAAACACAGGGTCTGGAACAGGCACTGGCTCTGCCTCTGGCTCTGGAGCAGGCATTGGCTCCGGCTCTGGCTCTGGAACAGGCACTGGGTTCAGCTCCGAAACACCGGACACCGGCCTCTCCAATATCCGAGCCAGCCGCTCCAGATAGTCCCAGCTCAGGAAGGCAGACGGGATGTGAACAATCTCTGACTGGGCAGACATGTCGTGAACAGTCTCTGACTGAGCAGACGGGACGTGAACAGTCTCTCGCTGGGCAGACGGGACGTGAACAGTCTCTGACTGGGCCGACGAGACGTGAACAGTCACTCGCTGGGCAGACGGGACGTGTCTCCTTCTCCGGACCACCGGACTTGGAACCACCGGAACAGGGACCACCAGACTTGTGGCAGTGTCGGCATGGCGAGGCTCCAATACATCCCACTGACTCCGATGCTCAAGGTATCTGATAAAACCCCGGAAGTCCAAGACTTCCAGACCCTTCACTTCCCACCCCGACAATGGGTAATCAAGACAGGTATGAAAAATGCTCTTTAAAGCTGTCTCATTGTAACCCATTCCCCCTGAGAGCGTCCAAAATGACTGAGCTATGCAACCCACCGGCAGGCCCTGCTGACGCAAGCTCATCAAATTTTGGACACACCCATCCTCTCCTTCTCCGTGGTAGGGGGAAGGATACGGAACCCCATCATGCTGGATCTCTTAGTGATGGAGTCCTTCTCTTTCTTCGCCGAGTCCTCAAGTGGCCGGTACATTCTGTCACGGTTCGTGTAATCAAAAAGGTGTGAGGACTCAAGAGAAAATATTAATTTATTGCCAAAACAAAACAAACACAAAGCAAAAACCCACGAAGGGCAAAAACACAATGAATAAAAATAAAACAATAACGGAACCTGAACAGAGGGTCACGGGGAATGGGAGACATTAGACAACGTACCGACACAGACTGCAAACAAGAGGAGACTTAAGAAGGGAACTAATCAGGAGGGAACAGGTGAATGAACTCAAACAATAATCAGGTAACGAGGGGGAGGGATCAGACAGTGACACGAGCACATGGTCCAAAATAACAAAACACCCATGTGCAACACAAGACAGGACAGGCATATGGCAGAAATTTATAGATCATGGAATAGTAAATGCTTAAATAAATTGATCTCAAAAGATAAAAAGAAAAGAAAAGTCCAGCCATGCATTAAATAACATAGGAAATGAATACGGGTCTTTTTAGACCCATGTTGTGCATTAGAAGGGGTATCCATAGCTTGCGCATCAAAGGGTTATGGAAAATAATGATTTTTAGCACAATATGCTAATTTTTTGAGAAGGACCTGTAAAATTTCTTTAATCGTTTTCTCTTGGTAGGCTAATTTCTTGCAAATTATCCCCAATATTGTTTTGTTGCATCGCTGATAATATTATTATGAATGTAACCGTTTAATACAGAGTGAATCTCTGTAAGTGTATGTTCTTGTCAATGGAATAACTTTTAAATTAGATTTATATATATATATATATATATATATATATATATATATATAAAAAAAATAATTATGTGAAATGTTACATGCAAATTCATGTTTTCAAGAAAACATGCCATACTTTTTACTTGATTACACTATTTAAGACCTTTCTTGAAAATGGTAAAAAGTTGTTCAAAACCATTGTAAAAATGACATGAATACACATATTTCTAAGAATTTGGTACATGGATTTTAAGCTGTTTGTGTCCATAGAAAAACTACATGTAAACAGTATTCAGTGTTAGCCTGTTAATACCAAACTCTACTTCACTTTGCTTCGTAGACAGAGTCTGGAATGGCATACTTGAAAAGTATTCTTTTCAATTGTTCTCTTCTTGTTCGGGCTTCAGTTTGCAAATGCCGTCAATATTCTCCACAGGGAGCAAATTGCATCCTGTGTCTCCATAATACAAATTATTTTAAAAAACTTTTTTCCCCACTATCAAAATGAATGTTTACATAATTACCAGAAGATTGCCCTGCACACAGCTTAAAGGGATAGTTCACCCAAAAATGAAAATTCTGTCACGATTTTCTTACCCTAGTTTTTCCAAACCTGTATGAATTACTTTCTTCTGTTGAACTAAAAGGAAGATGTTTTAAAGGATGTTTATCCGCGGTCGTTTTCGATTTCCCTGCCTAAAATACGATCTTAAACTCTGCTTAGTGTCTACGTCACGGCTCTCAGCCCGGCCTCTGTTCGTTGATTGGCCAGCTGTTTTCAGGCCGAAAGAAAACTGAGAGACATGTCGATGTCTCACACTGAGTGAGTACAGAAGCGAACTGAAATAGAGTGAACTGAAGTACGAAGTCTGACGCAGTCAGGCTGATTCAGTATATGTTACCTTGTCCTTATTTTCAATTGAAGCCCCGGCCTCTAGCAGCGTGTTCACAATCTCCACGTTTCCTTGTGAACAAGCTCTGTGTAGAGCTGTACGGTTGAACTAGGAAAAAAAAACAGTATTGTGTTTAAGTCCTTTAATGCTAACAGTTGACTTGTATTTCATTGTGCTGGGTAAACTCACATTATCACATGCGTCTGGGTCCGCACCTCTGGCAAGGTAACTCTTGATCATTGGCAATTTGTTATCCAGCGCTGCCTTCAGGAAGTCATCCTCATCAACAAAATCATTCTGTGACACAATGAGATATGATTATTTCAGGGATTGAAATCTCTTATTAATGAGGATTATTCTGAAGCAAAATGACCATTGTTCACTATCTCTTGTTCAGACTTTATTTTGTAGAGTGGTGTACTGATTTGTATCTTCTGACTCCCTTGTAGAATATCCTGGAGGTCATTTGTGCTGTTGTCAGTCAGCAAAATCATTTAATATGCCAAAGAAAATACACTTCTAATCACATGAGGAATGCAAATGCATGTTTATATCTTACATTAAAACCATCTTCACTGTCACTCTGAAGATTATTATGGCTTTTCAGATGATGGTCAACAGAGATCTTGCATTCTTCAGAAGGATATTTTTGTTCCACATCGTTCTGCTCTTTGCTTCCACTTGTTATGTCTGTAACCTAAAATAAAATAGCATAAAAAAAAAAAAAAAAAAACATATATAATTTTAACCAAAGAAATCACTTATAGTCTGTCATCATTTACTCATCCTCATATTATTCCAAATCTGTGTGACTTACTTTCTTCTGCAGAGCACAAAATAGCATATTGTGCATAATTTAATGTTAGTAACCAAATTGTAAATTGTATTGTAAAAATATCTTAATTTGAGTCCCATGCAAGAAAGTAAGTCATGGTTTGGAACCAATCATTTTTGGATGAAATATCCGTTATAAAACACAGAAAATGCAGTGTCATGTATATACTGTATGTGTATATATATATATATATAAAGAGATATAATCCATCTCCTGGCTGTCCTTTCAGATTTCTTATCTGAAAGCTGTTTGAGCCGTTTGGAAAACGAGTTTCAAATACTTCAAATAATATAAGGAGGCCTGTTATTATCTGTAGTGAAGTGGCATGACATGGTAATCCATATTCGAAATTTGTCCTCTGCATTTAACCCATCTAAGTTAGTGCACACAACAGTAAGTAGTGAACATACATGTGCCACAACTGCCCAAGTATATCTTTTGTACAAAAAAAAACAAACAAAAACAAAAAAAACAAAAAAAATTCTGAGCAGGGATAAAGGAAAGCAGGAGATTAGGACCTAAAATTCCAAAATGCACCGAAGAAACTGGAATCTTCAACCAAACGCATCAAATTAAACTATATATTAGGGCTGTCAAATGATTAATCTTAATCGCATCCAAAATAAAAGTTTGTGTTTACATAATATATGTGGGTGCACTGTGTATAATTATTTTGTATAGAAATACAACATACATGCTTGTATATATTTAAGAAGTATTTTTATGCATATAATGTATATAGATTTATATATATATATATATATATATATATATATATATATATACATATAAATATTTTATATATTAATAATATTTTTTTCTTAAATATACATGCATGTGTGTGTATTTAAATATACAAAGTAATTATACACAGTGCACCCACATATATTATGTAAACACAAACTTTTATTTTGGATGCGATTAATTGTTTGACAGTCCTAATATATGTATATATATATATATATATATATATAAATGCTTTTTATGCTTTTTATAAAAAGACATACAGAAGTGCCTACCAGTTCATCAACCTGCAGGATTCCCATGACTTTACTTGAAAATTCCTTGTGTCAAAACTATAGCATCTGAGCCAAGAGTTACTTATATATGTGGTGGCGACAGTTGGAGGAGGTGTCTTGTTCAGTGACTCCCACATCTAAGGTGTCCCTTGTCACTGTGATGTCACATTTTGGGTGGCGTTGAGGGTGTAAAACAGAAGTTTTTGGGAAACATTTGACGTAATGTAAATTAAACCTGAGGGGAATTAGGGGGTGGTGATGGCGCAGTGGGTAAGACACATGCTTTTGGTGTGAGAGACCCGGGTTCGAATCCACTGTGAGACACCAATGTGTCCCTGAGCAAAACACTTAACCCCTAGTTGCTCCAGAGGCGTGCAACCTCTGACATATATAGCAATTCTAAGTCGCTTTGGATAAAGGTGTCAGCTAAATGAGTAAATACACAGTAAATGTAAACTTGAGATGCCACCACAACCCCTTGCCTCCAAGGATGAGTTACAGTTGTCTGCAGAGCTGAAATCACAGAACACCATTTCACATAACACACACACACACACACACACACACAAGATGACAGGGAATGTTTATGAAGTTATGAATATAACATCATAATTAGTTTTGACTGTCTCATATATTAGGGGAGCTGTCTTCATTTATGAGGCTATTTTCTTCTGGGTTTAATCATTTACATCTGTTAGAGCAGGTAAAATTGTCACACCCTGTCACTATTTTAAATGGAGTTGCCCATGAATCACTTAGAGTAATGAGTCACATGTATGGTTGACTTGTCACATGTTCATGGTCTATAAATCTGAAAAATGATGCAGATTTAAAGAATTTATATGTTAAAATGAATATAGTGACATTGTACGATGTCTTGTTGAGTTCCATTTTCAAAGTTTTCTTAAGCACTGTGAGAGGCTACATATAATATATTTTAACAAGCAGAATATTTCACTGGTGTTAGACAGAAAAATCTCTCCATAATACCTTTTTTTTTTTTTTGTATCATCAGCATCATGAAGAGTACAACATATTGTCATTGGAGTCTCAGCAACTCAAAAAATAGAAATGGAAGATTAGCGTATTTAACATATTTCAAAAAGTTGGATATATAAAATTACAATATTGGTGCAGGGCTTTCAAACAGACATGTGAGTACATAAAATTTGTGAGAAAATCTGATTAAATTTGACATATGTGTGTATAAAATAACATCGTTTCAAAAACACGACAATGTATTTAGAGGGTTGATCATTTAATAATCATATAAATCATATAAATACTTTTTTAAATGCACAAATTGAATAACATTCAAATTGTAATTAATCTATATTGTGAATCAAATCAAAGATTTTGAATTTGCAAACATTGCTTTTAAATCTGTGAAATTTCTGAATTTTCTCTGCTTAAACTTCTCTATCTGTATCATTAAAATCAAAATGAAAGCAAAATGGATAATTCCTATTTTTTTATAGAAAATTTCACATCTTTTCTGTTATAAATGATTTATCCATGGACATCCTTTTTCTTTTTAAAGCATGAGCCCTCATAATCTTTAATCAAAATAATGGTATGTCATCTCTTCTCTGATTTGTCTGAGGGCAGGACTTCACAGATCTTCATTGGGCAGGGTTTCTGATGCTTATTCAGTAAACAATTATTGAACTACCCTGAACCAATCAAGTTTACAATACAATAACTCAGAAAAACACCTTGGTGGAAAGATCTGCAAAGTTTGTTCTGTTTAAGTCTCAATTGTTGAATCTTTTTATGTATATTCAAATATTTACACGTTAATTTTGCAGGTTAAAAAGCAGCTGAAATCGAGAGGAAGTTTCATTGATAAGGGAATCAATCCAATCAGATAAAAGTGAGACTTCTACATTTACACTATGTATGTTGTTGATGTATTTAGGCCATGGGTTAGTAGGATATTTGATATGTGAAGTGAAGCTTCCGTCTTGTGTTTTTATCTGTCCTCATTCTCAGAATGTTATTAAAATGCTTTTAAAAGATGATATGTAACTTAACACGTTGCCTGAATACCTAGCAACCATTTCTGGACTGTGTACCAGCCTCTACCTGCTCTTTAATGACCTGAGGTCTGACACGCACACGCAACGCTGTACACAGTTTTTTCAGTAAAGAGACCACTTAAAATCATCTTTGGTGTTTGCATTATCATTTTAGACTTTTTCTTAAACCATGTGATTTTACTGTCATCTTTAATCTTTTCATTAAATCTTTTCTCATTTTAAACAGTATATTTTTGACTGTATTTCCATAAAAATATGTAAACATGTTTTAAAAATACTTTTTTAACAAGTGTCCAGTGTTCCTCTAATCTGAAGGCATGTATAACATTAACGTCATGCTTTGAGTTTTCAGTCAGGTGTACACTCTGACTGATTTATCTACTATGGCACGTGTGTGTGTTGAACTTGTCACCACCCAGCTCTGGTACAGCATACCTTGAGCAATATTAATATGGAATATGAAACATGAACTTTATACTGATACATGATTATACATCAGAGTTACTTTATGCAAGGCATGTTTTCAAATCTTTCATCACATTAAGTGATGCTTAATGTCAAATAAAATATTATTCAATGTTGATGACAGACGTTTTTAGCAGTCATATTACAGTCGAGCATTTGAGTAATCGGCAGAGCAACAGGTCATGAGCCTCTTGCATTAAACATCTGAGACCCTTGAAGGCAGGAGAGCGGGGACCACAGAGACTCCAGCTTGTGAATATAGATGATCCTGTTCATAAACAGGTGAAAATATTATTTCACACTCTTGCTTGCTTATTTAATTTATCTAATAATTACCTCCAGTGGACATAACAGGACAATTTTGATGTTTTCATTGTGATTAACATTTCATTATGTATAGTTTAACAATATCTCTGGCTAATTTCATAGCTAGCATTTCATGTATTCTATACCGTAAATACAATTAAATAATTGTTTTCCATTAAATAATGTAGTCGCCGTCTCACCTGTGGCCATCCGGCGAACTGGTTTACTATATTTTTACAGATGCCTCGTTTATCCTGCACCACGTGCAGAGGCTCTCTGCACGAGGCAAACCAACACGTGAGCTGCATTTCCTGCCTTTGCATCGACCACGTGGAAAATGCTCCATTTCCAGCGGATGTGCGGCCTGTGAAAGCATGCCAATCTCCATGCTGCGCAATCGGCTAGCTCTCTCTCGAGAGACGGTGATGCCGCTTCAGCGATGCTCTCTGCTCCAAGGAAGAAGTGTGTCGTAGCCAACGGCAACCGGAGGGTTTGGCTGTTAGTGAACACACACCGGCCGCGTCCCAGCGTGCTTCATTTTCTCCTAGCCGGACACCATCACCGGTTCTGTTCGTAGGAGACCAGACCTGTATGGTCAGTCAAACCCCCCAAAAAATATGTGCACAAATCACATAATAAGGGTATCAGCTATGTTGGGGGGAAGACAAACTGATACTTCACAGGGATTTGATTCTCGGCCATTTAAAATGCTTGGGTCTCACAATCAATATTGCCAAGAGCGAACTGTCCCCCAACTAGTCTTTGGGCACAGTTTTAGACTCGGTGACGATGAAAGCGCGGCTCACTCTACAGCGTCCATGCTCTGTACAGGCTCTGGCAGCCTCGTTCAGGGCGTGCGAGCACATGCCTCTGAAGAAGTTTCACACATTGCTTGGTCTAATGGCAGCTGCATCATCAGTACTCCACTTGGGATTACTGCGCATGCGCCCGCTGCAACACTGGCTAAAACGCCATGTGCCAACCCATGCATTGCAGTCAGGCAGCCTGCGCATTATTGTGAATCACGAGTGTTTAACACTAGAACGGCCACAATGGTCATTTTGACCGTTTTGAATTTTATCTACAATAACTTTGTTGAAAAAAATAATAAAATCCTGCTGGTACCTGACTTTTCCTAAAATTGCCTGTATTTTCATATAAATTAAGTTACGTAAACGTACGGCAAAACAAAAAAAATGAACATATTTACCTATTTCGGCCACAGACGGTCATATTGACCGCACTGAATTTTGCGGTATTTTTTTTTTTAAATATCCCGCGGTTGATCGTGTTCTCTCTCAACTGTCAACAGAAAGGTCTGTCCGGTCACCTCTGTAGCGGTGTTTGCTATATAATAATTTCTACATTATAGTTGTTGATCAGAAATAAGCAAATAAAACCGGACTACTGTTATCTATAATACTTACGTTATCTATAGGCTATAAATGAAGTGTTCAGATGCAAAAGCCTCTAAATGCCATTTGAAATTTTCTTCTTTAATGATGATTTTTATTGAACTTGTGTATTTAAGTTAAGTAATTTCACTTAAATAACAATTAATAGGTAATTATCATTGCCATTTAAAAATTTCAAATGGCACTTAGAGGCTTTTGCATCTGAACTCTTCATATATAGCCTATATACATTGCTAGGCTAAAATGTCTAAAATGAATGAGCAAATTAGGAGAAACATGACTCGAACCATGGCCCTGGAGATGCTTCTTGACGAGTGATGATTCGGATGCAGAGGAACAATCGGAGGTGGAAAGTGACAGCGACGTATCCTAGGTGCAAGTTAACATTTCCTCCTCATCAGAGAGTGATTCAGAGTCAGAGTCCACATCGGAAAAAGAGGCGGCTGCTATCATCAGACACAGCAGATCCAGATCCATTCATGTCGGATGATCCTGGTGAGCTCTGCTTCCCTGTCCTGCGCTGTTTGTTTTGCTGCATGGGCTGTTCACTAGTTCTGCTCTATTATTATTATTATTAGCCTATTGACCGCTTCGCAAATCGTCACTATCTAACATTTTCGTCATAGTTTTTGTCATTCAAACCTAGTTTTTATTTAGTTATCGTCTTGTTTTCGTCTTTGAAAAAATGTGGTTGACGAAAATAATTAAGAAAATTATTCATCAACGAAATAAACACTGTTTTGAATCTAACGGTCAAAATGACCGTTTGTGGCTGTTTTAGTATGTTATAACACTGATTCCCTGTCGGGCTCAGAACTGGTACCACAATGGGGTGACCATGGGGGTAGTTTCCAGAA